TAACCCCATAGTTCTCCTTCAACTACGATGGTGTTGTTAGCAACAAATGTTTTTAAAAAACCCAGAAAACTGAGCTCTGTGGAGCGGACCTGTGAATAGCAATGACCTACACCCACAAGGGAATGGCATCTGATGAAATATTTATAACTGCTCCCTCAACTCCACAAGCTGCCCCTGAACAAAATTCTGCCTTGCAGATGTTGTGCCTCTCCTTCACTTTCTTCCTCTACAATCTCTGTCATGCTGGTATGGTTTCCCACCTCATCCTCCCCACTCTCTCAATTGATTGAGCCCAATTCGCAGCAGCTGCATCAAGTTACTTATTCTGTGTTGAAATTATTCAGATAAATAATTCATGACATTTTTTTGAGGCAAGGGTGGGATTAGCTGTAGGGGTGGAGGAAGAAAAGGGTGCATTTGTGGCTGCTGATGAAATTGTGCTGCTGTGCACCTGGGAGGAGGATACAGAGGAAGACTTCACTATCCACTCCAATACCAACTCCCTCCCTGTTCTCTGGCTGTATAGTATTCTCACTGCCAGAAAAGAACGTAGTTGTGCTCTGCCTCTTAAAGGTGCACCACTTTGTCCTGCAGATGAAGAACCTACTTGCTGTGTGAAGATTCTGTCTTTCCCTCTAGGCCTCCAAGACTTGACAAATATAAGACATTGCCAAACTATGGTGATAGGAGTGTGAAGGATGTGGTGCTTTGGTGCACTTGACAGTATGGTGAATTGGTTTAATGAACTGTACCACATTAGTTTGTGGTGATATGCTGCTAGCAAATTACAGTTTTTTCTGTGTCCTCAGGAAGTAGACAATTACAATGCTGACCCCCTCGAAAAAGACCGCAGCAAAATGATGTAGAAATAAAATATTTCTACTTAATAACCTATACTCAACCTATACCCAAAACAAATTCCTATTGGAGAATATTCAGTGACGTGCCAACCATTTTTTGAAAATGATAAATGATGGTATTGATAGCAGCAGTTAGTGATGATCAAAGCAGCAGCAGTCATGACCGACACCAAAACTAACAATATAGACAGTGCTGTTGAGGATGAGTTAAATAGCAATAATGATGTTCAGTGGAAAGACCTAAAATAGACCGTTAGAGGTTAAATTGCTATAGTTAATGCAATCTGTAATGAAATTTAACAGAAAAAGCAGGAACATGTAGACCTTTCCTTTATCCTCTTCTTCATTTGAGTTCATATCCTTGTTGTCTTTATGGTGGGTTTCCTCTATTCTGCACTTAACTTCATTATCAGATACATAATCACCCTCACTCTCACCATACACCTTATCATAAACAAAAAATATGTTACCATCTCATGCTCCTTGCACACCTTTGCTTTGGCCATATATGAAAAAGAGTCCAGTAGTGCCGATATCTAGAAGACACTCCAGCAGTATCAATTACAATAGCAAAAACTACAGTTGGACTGGAAAGTAGAGATAAGTTATGTGGACCTAAAGAAAAACTCCAGAAAAGTAAAAAGTTAACGCTTGTAGCGGGCTACCCCTGCACCACACGGATTAAATGCTAATTTTTCTGTAGGATGCAGAAAACAGCAGATATACTAACTTGATCCTCAGTTGTGCATTGGTGGGGCCTCACCTCTCTCCACCTCCACTCCAGTTTTTGTATCAGCAGCGTCAATGGAGCATAGATCGCCGGAGTCTGGTGCAGAAGAGGCTTTGGGGACCGGTCTAGCAGCTTGGTGGGATTTAGGATAATTTAAGTATATTTTTTAATTGAGCCCCTAGACCAAAATGAGCAGTTAACCCTTGCAGTGGGGGGGGGGGGGGTAGGGCTAGCCTACAGTTCTGCTTTAAAGGAATTTAAGGAAGTGCTGGTTTGAGCTGAATAGGACTGATAAGTTCTCTGCCTCCAAGCTTTAGGGTTCCAATCAAACTCATCATAGAGTTGTCACCAATTTGCTGGGACTTTAACCCCTTCATGACTGAGCTTGTTTTTAGTTTCTGTTAGTAAATGACTGACACACTTTTGAAATTTTTGCTGTGTGATTCTTCCACGTCAGTAATATACTTTCTTACAAAGTGCACCAACACATATTATATATTGTTTTTTAGAGGACAGATAGGGCTACATATTTATATCACATATGTGTGTCTAACGCCTCACTTAAAAGATGAACAAAACGTTAAAAAAACACTTTTTTTCCCAATTTTTTTTACAAAACCAGCACAGCTAAAAAAAAAAATGGAATAAATACATTCATTTATTTGTCCCTTATTTTTTATTTTTTTACACGTATTTTTTTCAGCAGAGGGCGGGTACAATGCTAGTTTACTATTGGCTATTGCAAATTGAAATAGCCAATAGTAATGCCCCAATGCTTTTCAATGGGAAAAATCTGAACCGGACACTGAACCGAAGGGGTCCTGGGGCCGAAGCTAGCCGAAGGATCGGCCGAAGCTACGGCCAGATCCTTTGGCAGCTTCGTGAATAGACCCCTATGTATCTTTTCCAGAAAGTGTCTAAGAATTGCAGGCCTACAATACATAACACCAAATTTCCATGCAAAAAATTGTACCGCTTTTGGTACAAAATTCCTGACATAATCATACCGCCAGGGAGGTTGATGGATGCCTCTATACTGAGACATCCATTAATGAATGATAACCGCTGATTCTCAGCGGTTACAAGCCTTCTAGTGCAGCAAATAACTCGTCACGTACAGTGTACGTGACGAGTCATTTGGTCCCTTTGTGGCGGGACGTACAGTGTAGTCTCCCGTCACAAAGGGGTTAAGAGATTCAACCAAATTTCCAATGGCAGACACACACACACATATACACACACATATATACACACACACACACACACACACTGGGGCTTTTGGGTATTGCTGAGAGTTTGTAACAGCATTTGGAAAGATGACTGCATCATGAAATTGACAATATTATTTTTAATCTCTATGTTTATAATATAATATATTTAAGGAATCTGATACAATCTAGAGTAGGTAGATTCTGTTTGCTTTATCAGCTAGGCTGTAGCCAACCTAAACATTTGATTACTTTTTCTGTACTCTGCTCAGTGTATTGACTGTTTCTGCCTGCTACTGTTGAGGAAGTTCCAGAAACAATACTTGAGTTATGATTTTTTGTCTGCTGCAGTTGTTAAATTTGGAACAACTTTCCAGAGTGTTCATTTCTCATCTGGGCTTTGCTCTAGATTAGTGGTTCTCAACCTGTGTAAACTCAGGACCCACGTTTGTCCTTAGTCATTAAGTTGCGACCCAAGTTGCACTGCAATGGAACGCACTAGGGTACCGAGTGTTCCGGTGCAGGCATACGAACTGTAGGTGGGAGGTGCTTTTGGGGTACCACTGAAATGAATGGCAACACAAAAACACCTCCCACACCAGAATGCACGGTAGGTGCGATTGCGTGGTACAGTTTAACGCACTCTACTAGTGTAAACAGACCCTCAAAAACACTGACATACATACACAGACACAATCTCACACACTCGGACAGACATTCTCATACACACATACACACTTCAAAAAAAGTTGTTCTTTTAAATTATTTTAAGGTCCACCCAGTCTCCCTATCTTACTAGAATTTGAGTGGATCCTCCAGTGTGGGCTGCTGTGCTGTGACGGAGCTTCATCCATATGTGCATTGTTTGTACAGCTCCCTTGCATGCCCTGCAGAGGTTCCAGGAGCCAAAATGTGATGGGACACATGAGGAAGCTGTAAGCAATGCAAGTATGGATCTATGGAGCTCCCTTAGCCCTATAGCCCTATCCCACCCCAAGCTGACACTCGGTGCCAGGCAGCATATTTTGAATGGCTGCTTGGCACAAGAACTGACAGTGCAGCACTAGGGGGAGGCAGGGGAGCCTCTCACCTAGAAAAGTGGAAGGCATGCGGCGACCCACTGAACCCTCTCACGATCCACTTTTGGGTCACAATCCACCAGTTGAGAACCAAGGCTCTAGATGGAGCTAATGTTAAAGCTCAGTATATTACAGTTGCCCTGATGGAGGGCCTGTTCAGTGAAACTGTGCATGAAAATGTCTGCCTTGAAGGAGCATCTTGAACTAAATATTCTGTGCTAGAGAGTGTCCAGGGAGGGCTGGGTAGAAGCTGCTGTTGCTGCTGGAGATAGCAAGAAGGATTCACTACTTACAGTTTAAGTACCTGTGGTTGCTCTGGAAGGGTTAACTGCCTAACTGTCCAGAAAGAGGTCCATTGCAACTTAAGAAACTGATCTTACAGTCACATGTTTAAGCCATGACTGCTCTTATAGAGTCATGCCACTCAGTTTGGCTGCTCTTAAAGGGACAAGACTAAATGAAGTCAGAGAAAGGCAAATACAAGCTACACAAAACTGGTGAATGGAAATTGAGATCTGTCCTGAAACTGTTTAGGCAAGATTTACTGCTATCTTTTGGGTATTCTGTATCTCTAACCCTCTTTCTCAAAGTTTATTCAGCAATAAAATTACAATAAAGACTAAGGTGACTGGCACCCAACTTATTTACCCTCATTCACTTTCCGTTGTGTTGCCTGCTACCTTATGTTTTTAAAGGACAAGAGTATTGTTATGCCAACGGATGCTAGTGAATACCCTTATGTTCCTATGATTATATGGTGGCTACATCCAACAATTCACTACAGCACCCTGCATGAACTGTGGGCATGGCAACAATACAGCTTCTAAACTTATTCACCCATCCATGTGCCAAGGACTTTGCTTTGAAAGTGGATGCATCCAGGATAGTAGTAGGAAGTACCAGAGCATTCTGAGATGTCAGCCTGCTATACCACATTGGAGGTCATTCCAAACCACCCTAAGTGCAGTAGTGGTTTATATGCAAAACACGCCTTAGCATAATCATTTTCCCAGTCCAACTAGCATTAAATGCAACTTATCACATTCTCATTGCAATCATTGACAACACATGTCTATATATGTCTACTAAGAGCACTAGTCACTGTATTAAACAAGAACAATACCTTTTCTGGATGCTTCAAAGCTGTCATAGAGGTTAATTCTTTGAGTATCATATGTTAAAGTTGTGTTTGGAAGTAATGTTCTGTTTCTGTTAATTGTATTCACTGCAAATCTGAAGGCTAGTTCTTCTGCTCCAAAAGGTCCAGACTCTACATATTCAAAAATCCCCCCTGAAATAAAAAAAATTAAGAAAAACATAAACTTTAAAATGAAGGTCACACATAATACTGTATATACTGTACTTTACATAGCAACAAACAACAATCCTGGTGGATATTGCAAATATTGCTTTGTTTAGTCCTTAAACTCATTTCAAATAATTATCCAGATGTCTAGACTATCTAAAGATTAAGGCCTCAATCACATTGACATTAACAGATGTATACGTGTACAGTGTGTATGTATATGACGTTTCTAAACGCAAACAAATGCACATCATTCATTTTACTGGTACCATTCAAATCCCTGCAGACTGTTCACCAGCATTTAGTTACATTCATAAAATAGAATCCTGTCTGTCCAGGATATGATTAGAAACTCTAAACACTGCTAACCAAGACTATATATGTAAATGCATATGAACACAGCTAAACTAGCAAAAAGGAAGGTACATCTAAATGCAGTAAACTAGGAAGCATAAAGTTTGTTTACACTCCCCAAATAATTTCTCCTGTTAGGTATAAGGTGAACAATAAACCAAAAGTTGCAGTTGTCATAAAGGGCCTTGGTAAAATTGACAATGCTGACCAACCGAACATACAATAGTTTTAAACAAATTTACAATAAAAGCATAAAAAATAAATCTCTAACGCCATGTTATTATAAGCCAGTATAATATGAATGTAACCATTCCGATATGCTAGAAAACTTTTCATCCATTTATATTCATTATTGTATTAATGGTATGTCATTATGAAGGTGGTGACATGGTGGATACCAGAAAGCTTAATGCTATTGTGATAAAAAGACATTTATGATTATTATTAATCTGCCTAACAAAATCTCAGTATCAATACTGAATTATGTTAACCACAGGAGGTAAGCACATATCATATTTATGGAGTTAGTGGGATATTATTCAGTGCTTTGTAAGAGAAGATTTTATGTGACTGTTACTGTAAGATAAAGAACAAGAAAATAATATGACACAGAATGTGGTCTCCTGCTGTGATATACATGCTAGCTCTATTGTTGCCAAAAAGCCACATTTGAAATTGTAATTATGAAAAGACTTAATCATTTAACATATATATTAAAGATCAAATTCCTAATAAAATACTCAGAACTTTTTGATATATGAAGTTTCAAATGAACTGAAATATTTTTTAACATCTTCCAAATACTTTCAGATGGCTATGAATTTCATCCTGGTAATATTTTTTGCCAAAGGATTATTTACAACATGACTCTACATTAATAGTACCTAAAATGAATTTATGAAACAAAATGAGAGTAGGAATGGCAGGTGTATTTAATACAAAGTCAAGACACAAATTTTAAAACCATTAACAGGGAATGTCTGTACAGATAAACTATAGAAATAGCATTAATGTCCTTAAACATAATATCTTTACAAAATCCCATTTTATGAAAGGCCATAACCTCATTGAAAAATAATTTTCTGAACCCTCTATTAGTTGCTACCCTTTACATTTATAAACATTTTCATGGGATTGATGGGAAAGCTATTTCAGGGAGGTTATGAAACACGGCAACTCTATACCATCTGTTATAAAAACACAGTAGGGATGAGAAAAATAATTCATAAGTAAGGCGCATTGAGAAAATCACAAACTTTTTTGGATTTGACTAAGCATATACACAAGGGATTTGATTTACTACAGGGGTAGAGAATGATCACTATGCAAAGTAAATTAATGAGATGAAGCTCAGTGAAACCTAATTTTGCAAATTATGCACCCAATCATGTGCATGGCAAATAAAAAAAAAAACAGGATTTTGCTTGCACGTTTGGATGATTGAAGTCAGTACAGCATCACCTCATTAAATAAAGTTGAACTATGGGTTTCAATTAAATATATGTGTTCCAGCACTTCATTATACATACATCTGCACTTACAGTTATTCCTTAGCCCTTAAAGTCCCACAAATACCTGTGATACCTGCCAGGGAAGTCAACCTAAGGCAGCTTCCTATGATGGTGTGGCAATGATGATGCACTGTTCCCAAATTGAGAGCAGAGTTGCCACACTCATGTAGGCTGCACCTTCTTGCACTACAGTGGGATGAAAACATGTTGAAGGGGACATGGCTATCAGCAATGTCATTTCTGATTCACAAGCCTGTAGCTTGTCAATCAGCAGATGTCCACACTAACAGGTCTATTCACTAAGCTGCCATAAGCAGCCGAGTGAAAGACCGATCTGAAGTGAAGTGAGCCGAACACTGTTCGGCTATTCACTTCAGGCTGGTACGGCTGATTTCAGCCGTACATTGGCTGAAATCAGCCGTACATCGGCTCACTTCGCGTGGCTTCGGGTCGGCCGAACATGTTCAGCATGTTCGGCCGACCCGAAGTGCAGAAGGAGTTGGACTCAGCCGATCCAACATCTGGATCGGCTGAGCCGAACCTCCGGCAGGCTTCTCACTGCTGATGCATATGCGTTCGGCTCGGCTGAGCCGCTCGGCCATGATCGGGAGCTGTACGGGCTATTCTGAATAGCCCGTACAGCACCCCTTTGGTTCTACTGAACCGAAGGGGTACTGGGGCCGAAGCTAGCCGAAGGATCGGCCGAAGCTACGGCCAGATCCTTCGGCAGCTTCGTGAATAGACCCCTAAGTCCTGCCCACTGCTTTCTGGAATGACAGCACTGCCTCTGATTCTAAAACTCTACCACTGTTAGCCACAGTGTCTGGGAGAGGGAAAATGTAGATCACAAATGTAGGAAAATTTGGCTTAGTCAGGCAAGGTAAATAAAATGTTGTGTAATTTTGTGTAAGTGGCTTGTGCATCATTTAGTAAACTAATTTACTACGTGTTTAGACTGTCATACAGGAGCTTTTAGTTGTATATTAAGCTAAGTAAAAAACAATTTTCAAAGCTAGAAAAAGGCTTTACATTCACCCAGTGACTTGTTCTTTCTGCAGATAATGATGCATTGCATTAATCACAATTGTATGCACATTGAATTGTGTGACCATCTGCCCCCTGGAGCCAACCGCCCCAGAGCTACGTTGCTCACCCTCTTGCTCTATACTATGCTATCTTACATCTTCAATCTCACCATTTCTACTGGCACCTCCACTTTAAAACATGCATTGATCACCGCCATACTTTAAAAGCCCCCACTGGACCTCACAAGTGTGAACAACCCATCTCCATGCTTCCATTTACCTCCAAACTCCTAGAACACCGAATCACAACTGTCTGAGCTGCTATCTAACTGATAACAATGTTCTCGAGCCTTCCTAAAAGTAACAAATTACTGCTAAAAACCAATGGCCACTACTCAGTACTATTAAACCTTTCTGTTGCATTCTGCACAGTTGACCACCCACTTCTCCCCAATAAACTCCACTTCCTTGGCCTCCAAAATTCTCCTGGTTCTCCTCCTACCTAAAAGCTCCTTCAATGTCACTTTCAACTCTACCTCCTCCTCTCCTCTTTTTCTTCTATAGGGGTCCTCCAAGGTTCTGTCCTTGAACTCTATTCTCTATCAACATCTCCTCTCTTTGTTAGCTGATAACCTCCCATGGATTCCAATACCATCTTTATGCTGATGACACACAAAGCTATAAGTTTATTCCCCAGCTCACCTTTTAAGTCTACTTCTGCAATACTAATTTACTAACTGACATATCAGTATGAATATCACACCGCATCTTAAAAAGTAATTTTTCAAAAACTGACCTTATATTTTCTCCTTCACGTGCTCTTCCTTTAACTTATCCATTGCAATCAATAGCACAATTATCCATCTGCCCCCTGGACTCTGACCTCTCCTTTCAGCGCCACATCCAATCACTGTTAAAATCTTGCCTCCTCCACCTCCGTAACACTTATGAAATATGCGACTTCTTAACCAATAGTACCACTAAGATACTAATTCCCTCACTTATTATTATTATCACCTTGACTATTGCCATTCCCTACATCTACACAGGCTATCCCACCTTCAGTATTTTGTGGACTGCTTCTGCCAGATGCATTCACCTTACCAACTGCTCAGAGCCCGGCAACCCTTGTCTGTCAATCCCTCCACTGGCTTCTGATCACCCAAAGAATGAAATGTAAAATACTAGCAACAAATAAATATTCCCTTAGCTTACTAAGAAGGTCAAGCTTTGCAGACTTCTATCATCCAATCATGTGCTAACAAAAATAACACATTTTCTTAACTTCCTTGCACACGATTGGATATGACCACACTCACTAAGCTCAGTTAAAATTATTTTACAAAATGAAAAAATAAAATAATTTGCAACATAAACATTTACTCCTTTAGTGAATTCACCCCATATGTGTGAATGCCCCTTTATTAAATCTACCTCATTGAGAAACTTGTTTACTAAGCACCTGTCTAAAGCTTGTCATTAAAAAAGTATGAAAATGTAAAAAGTGTTAGGGAAGTATTACAGTTTATAAAGTGCATGACAGATAGAACAAATTAATCTTAATAACTTAATTTCCTCAATAGGAAAACTTTAATACATCAGTTTAACTCATTAAGGAATTACCCTTAAAAGAGTGAGATCATGAAAGCTGCAGGATATCTCTAGTTACTGTATTGAATCTCTCATAGATTCAGTTGTTCTAGGGCTGCTAACCTGTTTACCCCCCCCCCCC